CCCCCTCCCCCTCCCTCTTTCCTTCTGAAGTATTAAAATTTTAGCAATTTCAAGAAGGCACTTTCTCCCATGTAGATCGCCTGATACAAAATGCCTATGCTTAGGTTACAGCCCTTTCCCTAGTTGCAGCATCCCTTCTGTGTTTAATTACCTGCTTTCACTGCCACTTTATGAATTTTGTGGACTAACTCCTCCCCTCTCCCCGTCCAGGTTTGCTGTACTGGCCAACAAGCTCAACAATTGTTATTGCTGCATAAGCATAAGTGGTCAGGTGAGACTTACTTACTGGGAAACTAGGCCATAACTGTTCAAAAATTTTTACCTTTGTTACTACTTAGGTTATTTTTTTGCTTATTACACATTTTCACAACTGGTAAAAATATTATTCCAAGTACAACTGATCTGTTTATTGGTTTCAGCATGAGTAAAATATTCCTTTTGTAACCTTCACAGTATTCTGGAATTTCTAAAGTCCATTTTTTAATTTCAACAGCGTTGCAGATAATGTATGACTTTGGCATTTACTCCCATGAGCATACACATGTGTGAATGCGTATACTTGTATAATTTCCTTGGTGGCAGTTTTTTCTGAAGAGAAATATAAAATAAACAATTTGCCTGCTCAACAATTTTCACTACTTAAAAAGAAAAAAAATAGTTCTCAAAAATGCCTTAGATGCATGTATTTTTATTTTGGCTTTCCTTTTTCTGAAATAGCTTAACTCTGTGTGTGTGTGAATATTTCTCTTTACATTTAATTTTATGAGATTGTTTTCAGGGCTTTTCTAAGATTTTTATTTATGACTGTTGTTCTTTCTTTAAAGCAAAAAAAACCCCACAAACAAACAAGCAAAAAATATCAAACAAAACCAGAAAAAACCCAACCAAAAAACTACTGCCTTCTTTTACAGTTAGCACAAATTGCAAACATAAATCACTGCATGCATTCATGGTGGATGCATGCATAAAACACTATGCACCAGAGAAATGGTGAATATATATAAAAGCCTTGGCTATGTTTTTCAACTATTTCAAAAACTAAAAACAACGAAAGTTTGGTGGAAATAGTAAATATGGGTTAATAATAAGCATATACAGGAAGTCTATATAGGTGTTCTCAAGCCAGAGTATATATGAATATGTACATTCATTTATGTATATACAGGGAATCCATACAGCAACAACTACCAAATTCTGCCCTAGCTGAACCAGAAGCACTGAAAGCTACAGCTACTGCATATTGGTATGTGAAGTGTCACAGAACATTCTGGTGTGGAAGGGATCCACAAGGGTCATGGAGTCCAGCTCTGAAGTGACAGCCTCTCTGGGGATCAAATACACAGCCTTGGCCTTATTAGTACCATGCTCTGACCAACTGAGCTAATCTCAGCAGCACAGGTAGTAGGGTCCTTCCCTTTTTGTATATTTCTTGACCAGATTGACTGGTTGATACCTCTGTAATTTCAGACTGCTGGAAAATTGACCTGAGATGCTGAAGAAAAAAAAGCTAATGAGAGATGAACTGTTGGATTTGCTGTACCTTTCTTAATGTTTAAATTGGGAATATGTCCTGGCTGTATCCCATCCTAACCTCCCATGTATCCCCAGTCTCCTTGACATTGTTCCAGCATGAAAAGCAGAAAAGGCCTGGGTGCTGTGCAAATCCTGTGCAACGATAACAAAGATATTATCAGTCTTGTGTTCAGCATATCAATAGATGAAAGTTGCATATTTTAGATAGTTCTCCTTCACACATTTTGTCTTGAAATAAAGCAACAGCTGGCGTTTTTTTAATGCAAACTGACACGCAAAGCAGCATGACCAAATAGGTGACTCATAGACCAGCTCTAACTTGTATTTCACCCCATCTCTTCTGGCTGAGAGACAGATTGCACCTCCACAGCAAGGAAACCATACATTCAGCAGCTGGATGAGCCTTGGAAGACAGGGAATTCAATGTGACTTAAGAATACATGCAGCAGGTGCCTATTGCAAAGCACTCTTTGGATGGTCATGTCTTCCTTCAGTGAATTTAGGCACTCCCTAGGGATTGTAGACTACTCATATAGCATCAAAATGAAATAGGAAGCTGCCTTTCTCCTTTCCTCATTCTATTTAAAATGTTTCTGTATTTTGTTTGTGAAGTTCTGTCGGCACAAATGATTATGCTCTTCAGTTTGATGCCAGGCAATACAAAGCAGTTAAAGTGATCTTCATAAAGGTTTTCTGTAAGGAGTGCTTAGACTATCAAGTGATTATTTCAGATAACCCATGCACTCCACATATATTCTGTGATGCCTTAATAGCTGTAACAGAAAACTTTTTGTCATATATTATGCTTATGAGTACCAGTAATAAATAATGTGAGCTTTGTAGAAGTACTTCAGTTTTCTCCTTTTTGAAAATTCCATGTATAGAACTTAATAGCCTACTTCCATGAATGACAGAGGGGATTTTTTAGTAAATTTAGGTAATAGATTTATTTCAAACTGGCAGTTTTTCCTTTATCTTTTTTTCTAAGAAAAGGAAACTTCCCACTGTCTTTCTAATTTGGTAGAACTTCAAAAATGTTTGTGTAATGGAATTGCCTGCTGTGGAAGAAGGACATAATGTTCGGACATGTTAACCTGCTACTACACCTTATGTTCTTTGTGGCTAAGAAATTCTAAGTTCTCCTTTTGATGCTCTTCCTCCCTTATTTTTTCTTGCACTTCTTTGTTAATTAACTGAAATCTATAGGAAAAAAATAATCTCCAGAGGAAAAGCAGCATGCATTTTCCCTGTAAATAAGCCAGTTGCTCTCAGACCTTCATGGTGGAGTGTATGACCAAAAAACTTTAGTACTAAAATATTTCATGGTTCTTGTGTCCTATAAATTCCCACATCTTTTTTATTCTGGGATGCTTCTTAGCATTCAGTAATCTAGCGGAGGTCAGCATTTATTCATTGTAATGATAATCAACTTCTTGACATTACCTTTGGATAGGCATATTTTCTAACCATAACTGTGTGCTGAAAAGTTCTACATTTTTAAAAACAAATGTAGTGTGGATGTTAACAACCAAAATGTTCTTTGAACTACAATTGCAGCAAAGAAACTGCACAATTAATTGCACTATTTTAATGTGGTTTGGATTTTTAATTTTTAAGGAGTTTTTATTTTGCCTCTAGTCCCCATAATGATAAATAAGTTGAGGCCTAAATAGAGAAAAAAGTTAAGACGGAACAAACTCTCCTTTACATGAGGCAACAATATCTCTTGTGATCTTACAGTTAAGAAACTATTTTACATTTTCAGCAATGTGTTCTGGCCTGATGACAGGTATTACTTTCTGAAAAGCTGTATATAGGTCATTTTCTTAGATAAATGGAATTTTCTCCCCTGGCAACTTCTCATGGAGACCTGGAGTCACTTATTTTTTGCCTCTGTATTAATTAGCAGAGAGATATTTGCCTGCTATGAAAATGATGGCAGTGTCTTGTTAAATTTCAATCCATGCTATCAGAATTGCATTAATATCCCATGGATAATAAGTTCACTCTGTACCTCTTGAACTGCTATCAGATGAGTCTATATAAATTAGTAGCTTCCCAGGTATTCTACCACATTCTTTCCTTAAAAATGACAGTCCTTTCCTTCCCCTAACTCCTCTGCTATGTATAGTAATAACAGGTATTGTAGGTGTCACCTCGGAATTAACAACAATTACTCTAATGAGGTTTTTCTAAATTTAGCTCACTTAAACTTCATTTAGTGTCACATATGATCCAAACACAAATTGTAGAATTTCATTGCAGTAGTCCATTGTTCTTTGGCTTTATATGGTGGTTAATTAACCTGTGGACAGTATTAACATATTCTTTTGTAACAAATGCAAAATCAGAAGCTTGCCCCTTGTTTTTTTAGGTTACTAGGCATTCCTGCACCTTTTCCTCTTTATAGCAGTAATATCACAATAACATCAAGAGGTTCAGCTATTTAAGATTTTGTCTGGTAACACCAAACCACAAATATTTCACATCTCCTTTTTAATTTTTTTGAATTAATGTAATACCATTATGAAGGTTCAACATAAATATTACAGTCTATGCATGTTTTATTGACACATCACCTTTCAAGTGTCAAATCTAGGCTAAAGACAAATTTGAAATATAATTTCGGAACATTTCTGGAGAGGAAAATCCTTAGACCTCCCATACTGAGGATTTTGGTATTCTGAGACCTAATCTACAGAGGGAGTAGAAGTGATAAAACCCACAATAATTTAAGGAGCAGGATATTTCAGATTACATTTTAATATGATTTTACTGTTCTCTTTTTTGTTCTCCCTGTCTTTACAAAGAGAAGGCTACTGTGTGGCTCTTAAAAATGTGTTTTGAAGAGAATTAATTAGTTTTTGAGCACTTCATATCTGATGTTGCCATTAATCTCATCACTGAATTTAGAGATTAATTCTTTTTCTTATACCATTAATTTTTTCTCCATTTTCCTTTACAGTGTAATACTTAGATGCAAACAAAAGGTAAAGCAGCCAATTATTTTTCTCAGCTAGCATTATATATATTCCATAAGGAATGCATCTTTCCAACTGAAAACTTCTGGAGCTTTTTTTTCCCCCAAGTGCATTTAGTATATAATAAACCTCACTCTAATGAGATCATTGTTCTCTCTCACAAAAAATATATATGTAGAAGAATATGGATCTGAAGTTTGCTGAATATTTCACTTAAATATTCAGAAATCATGTTCTGCCACTGCTTACAAATGCCTAGTTCACGGTTCACTTTGCATATGTAGATATTCTGGTGTTTTATCAAAATGGAAATGTCCAAAATTCGCTTAAAATATCATATAAGATAAATAGAAAAGAGACTTACTATAGCTGATCCCATAAACTTCTCATATATTTTCTAAGGATGATTAATTTGCACTAACTCATATCATATCATATTATGCACATATTAAAATAGTTGCTTAGGATATAAAGAATTAAGTAATAATGTCAGATTTTTCTCATGAAATGATGCCTGGTTTGTTAAAATTTATCATACTGCACACTGTTAGTGGTATATCAGGAATTAGTACCTAAAAAATGCAAATCAACAGAAAAATACTAAAATCCTTTTCTGTGAGCAAGTGACTTGGCCTAATGTACCTCTGTCAATCTATTTTACATATGGATAGAAGATTTTTTTTTATTGCTTTTAGAAGTTAGGTAATTACTGCATATGCCTGAACTTTCTATAGAAAAATATATTATCAAATGCATTTATTGAGCTGGGATGGAGTATCATTCAGTGTAAAATCTATGAGTGTATTTGCTGATGATCCAGTCAGTGACATTTTTTAGCTGTGGAATGTTCCCAGTCAAATTATTGGAGTTATGTGCCAACACAATAACATAAATAAATAAAATCCCCACAGCTATATTCATCTATAGTCATTTTTTATGTGTGATTGAATTGAGACTGGCAGACACCTACTTCTTTTTCTTCTTTCCTACCTCCAATGTCAATGGTATAGAAATTGCAAACACTTTTTTCTGTATATCCCTTCAAAGTGTTAACAATTTTCAGCCAGTGCATTTTCACTAATGAAATCTGGTTATCTCACTTACTTGCTTAATAAACTCGTGTGTGTGTGTGTGTGTGTGTGTGTCCCAGAAGTAGGGTATGTAACCAAATCTGTTGGACTTGTGGAATGTGACAAGGTGTAAAAATGAAACATTCTTCAAAAATTATTGGGCAAAGTAAACACTGTAATTTGAAAAAGTCAGCTATTTAACCCAAGATAATTTATGCATATAAAGATCTAGGCTAAATGCAAAGGGACAGTGAAGCCTGAGGCTATATGTTTTTCTAACCACCCTCATCTTTCTTCAAATATATTCAAGTCACAAACGATGGTTAATTAACTGATGTATTTTCTTTGCTGGAAGTACTACTGAATATTCTATTCATTTTATTTCTCTCATATCTAAAGCTTGAAGGAAAAAAATAATAGTTACATACTGTGTAGTAACCCAAATGCTTTGCAGTTGTCTACTTTATTATCTCCTTGGTCCATTTTGCATTTGAACAGAGGACTAGTCTGACAGCACACATTACTTGCTAAGCATTAATTTGGTTATGTGCTACTCATTCCTCACAGTCTATTTATATTGCATTGATGGCCTCTCTCTTATATATACCAATTCATTTTATTTTCACAGAGCAAGATGGAAAATGGTACCAAACTGTAACCTGCTGCTGGGCAAGTGAAGATGTTCCTTTCTTATCAGGTATCAGTGTGTCTATCTGCAAGGGTAGACGGGTGTCTCTAAAGTACTGTTTGGATCTATGAACATTGCCAAGAGAATGAAGTCAGACACAGAAGAAGGACAGAATCCATTGTAGAATAGAGTAAAACCTGAGAAACTTATTAATAATGGAGTGAATTTTGAACAAGATACTTCAGGAAAGTTGGTGGGAAGTGTGAAAGGGCAAAACTTTGTCTTACATCTAATGTTAAAATGACATGTTGGATCTATTTCCCCTGAACTTTCTAATCAACTTTTTTACAAAGTTGGCTGCAAAATCTAGTTTAGCAGAGCACATAAGGATCTTTTTATGTTTTAAACTTGTGATACTTAGACCCTGAACTAAAGTGACTGTTTGAACCAATATGAAAGAGAGAACAAGAGTGTGTATTATGATAATATAAAGAATTTCCTAAACACAAGCAAAATGTAAGAACATTCATTAGGCAAAAACCTTTTGGTGAGTCTGACTGGCTTTGCCACTTTCATTCACATGTCTGGTGTGAATGCTGAATTAAGAGGAAAGAAACCTGATGAATGTGGTATATATTCAGTTTCTACAGTTTTAATATACTGAGCTCCTGTTGTTAATTCAAACCAGAAGAGAAAGAAACCAAACAAACGAGAAAATTATATGAATTATTGTTCAGTTAAGGAAAATAATGGCCTAATATTGGTGGTCCTTATTAAAACAGCCTAGTCTTTTTAACTTCAGTAGCTATCATGCATAATTAACAGTCTTGCAAATAGACCGTAGGCTGATCAGGCAGTGAAATTCAATAATTATTGCTCCAAGAATATTTCTGGGGCTACAGGTTGGTGTTAAAGCTTACTGGTAGAACATGAGCTATGAATGTTTTCCTGTGTACTATAAATCCTCAGCATGACGTTTCCCTGCCCCCTTCTACCCCTCTTGACATCGCACAAGAAAGATGCCTAATTTAGCATAGCATAAAATAAACCTTATAGATGTGAATTCGGTTGGAAAGAGTATTTCAATTATATTCTACTTGCTGACATTTAAAATTAAAAGCAATGAGTATCTTCTGTGAATAATCACTGATGGATAGGGATTTCAGGAAAGTATTAACACAGTTGAAAATGAATAGGTAAAACATAAATCTCAGCATGTAAAATGATAACTTTTACTTCCAGAGCTCAGATTGTTATGATATATATACACATAAAGTCCTTCCTAACAAGGAAGGATTTGTTTTGAAAAGCATCTTTTATGCACACAGCTGTGGATTTCATTATGTGTTGTTTATCTTGGTTTATTGTAAATCCTCAGAAAATGACAGTGCTTCAGGATAAGGTGAACAATTGTACTTAATTGCCTAGAGACTGTTGTGTTGTAGTAGTTCAGTTTCTCTGGAAGTCTAGATGGTCAGGGATACAGACCTGAGGTGAGGAAAAAAAGTGTTTGGCATCTCCGGGATGCCTGAAAGGACTCTTCCTTGGCTTCCCACAGAGAGGAAAAAGTAAAGACTCAGTAATGATTTCATGTAAATAAATCAGTATACCTTTTTTTTTCCAAACAGATCCTCTTTGTGGGGAAGAATAATGCCATACTTCACTCAGGATTTCATTCGACCGCAATCAATATAGGATGTGTAAGGAGGAGTTTTTGAAGCTAAATACCTTTTAGTTCCCTTCAACTTTGTGTATAAATTCCTATACAAAACCAATTAAAATCTTTGCTGTCTTGAAATTATAGTTTCCATTACTGTACTCAACACAGTGTTTTATCATCTCACACTATAAACCTCTAAACAGGAATAATCCTGCAAGAAGACAGCACTCTGGGAGGCTTCTGATGGAAAAATAAATGCCTAGTTGCAAGTGAATGCAAAGGATGCTGCTTCTGAGAAGAAAGAGGAGCCTTCATTGAGGTTTTTTTGAATAGGGAAACCTTAAAACTGTAAGAACAGAACACAAAACTTGAGGAAAAGAAGACACCACAGATAAAGAAGATTTTTATAATGGGTCATTTTATTCCCTATTCATTTGTTTTTTGTGTTTTAATGAAATACATATGGAGAGATTGGAAGCATTTTGATATTCTTTAGATTTCTATCTTTAAATAAGTAGGACAGTTTCACCAAAAGCCTCTTCCTCCTCTGCAGTCCCCTGACATAAACTTCCCACACGCTGTATGCAAATAATAGAAGTGCAATTTTTAATTTAGCTAGTAAATGAAAGCTGCACCTGTTACAAAATGGTCAGTTGCAAAACTAAATTTCCCAAAAGACAAAAACACTACAGTTAAAAACCCTAGCTTCCAGCTGTCTCTCAAAGACAGAGAATACCACAACATGAAAGAAGATCCCAAGGTGGGACAGTATCCTGTGTCACAAAAAAAAAAAAAACAAAAAAAAAAGAAAAAAAGAAAAAAATCAAGTTCAAATAGTGTTCAAACTATTTATCGAATTGGAGTTTCACACGTTGATTGTAGTTGTTATTGACACTTAGATAGTTAATGCAACATTGTATGTATCTTGAAATACTTCAAGTAGATCAAATTGCTTGATGGTTAGAATCCTGAGCTTCAACAAACATGTATCACTTAGAACTGTGGTTCAATATACCATTCACTATCCATCTAGCATATTTTCTTCTGAAGACAAGTGGAAATGGACTGGCCAAATGAATGATGGTTCTTGTCAAGATTTTGCCTTAGTCAGTACAATCACTGGACAAAATATAGAAATAATTTATTGTTTCAGAAGCTGAAGCCCCTGTTCCCCATTCCAAGACTGTGCCAACCAGCAAGACCAGAGATACACTCTACATGTTCTCCCTATAAATATTCTATTTCCTATACAAGTGGTGCAGTTGTAATGGAGCAGGTGAATACTGCAAAGAGAAAACTCCCCTTTGGCCTGATTACAGCCTGACATTTTCCTTGGTGGTGAAAAATATGGCCTTGAATGTCCTTGGGCCAGTAAGATTTCTGGGCACAAGATACTCACCTCTGACTCAGTTCTCTAGCTGCTGTGTATGTAGTGCCCTTTTCTTCATATCTGCTATAAAATAAAGCAACTATCTAAAACTTTAATAAATAAAAAATGACAAAAGCCTGATCCAAAGGCTGTGTTTTCAGTGTCAGGAGAGCACTGGCAAAGAAATTTTTAGTTATGGCTTGGAGGTGTGCATGAGGTATAAGCTGATTTAGACTGTAAAGGGTATCCTCAAAAGCACAAAAATTGAAGGGATGGATTTTTATTTGAAAGGTTGTGATGTATTATATTAAATGTTGTATAAAATGCTTTTATATACCTTAAGTTGGTACCTCCAATGCTACACAAGTTCATGGACCATTTTGGGCGTGATCTGAATTTAAATGCAAGTATTTCAATTTTGCCTAAGTTTTATGTACTTCAGTCACTTAATGAGTTGTACCTGGAAGCTCTATTAAATCTATTTTAGCTTTAAATTCAGAAAGCTCTACAGTTATCAGCTGTTCATTTTCAGGCAAGAGAAAATCTCAGAATTCTGTACTGATTTTGATACTTCAGTTTCTAGAGCATGAATCAGTATTTCTGAACTACAAACCCTGTTTAATTGAAACAGACACTTTGCATTACCTCTATAGGTCTTTGCCATGAGGTTTTTCTCTGAACACCCTGCCATTTTTCCTGTTATTTTTCTGAAAAGCCCCCATATAAAATGCAGTTTAACTTGATACTCAAACCAGTTTTTCAGTCGGAAGACTGCTAATAGAAGTAATAGGGCAGAAACATGAGGTATTATTTTATCAGTGTTTTCTGAACTGTATTTACTGTACTGAATTTCAAACTGGGCTAGTGATGATTTCCAGAAAATGGGACATTTGTACCAATTAACTTTTAAGAGTGTGCTCCCTTCTTCTGGAATAGAATTGGATTATTGCTATTAGATGCTAATTCTGCAGCTCCCTCAGGGTGCTAAGATCTGCATACCATCCACATGTTCTGTTGTGTTCCTAAAACTGATGACAGACCCTCCAAAGTGTGTCTACTGCATAACTTCTGTTTTTTCTTACCTTTGGCAAACCACTGTATAGTAAGGTTTTTTTACGGATTCAAGTCTGTAGTCTACCATTTCTCTTTTGTCAAGTATGTAAATGGGATATTTACAAATAGGAAGAGAGGAGTGACAATCTGATGAACTCCTACTCCTTATTAGATGGCTTTAAGGATAGATTATTTGAAGACTTTCTAAAGATTTTCAAATTGCTTCACTGACTTACTGTCAATACACCTGTGCAATGAGTTCACTAAAGAGAATTCTCACAATACTAACAATACTGTTAGAAAGGAGACATTTGACTAAAAGGTAATGTGATTGCCAGTTTCTTTAATGGGCATCCTTAATGAATTTTATCAGAAGACTGATTCACATAGAACATGCACAATTAGCTGTGCCCACATTTAATACACCACAATTGCCACATTAGCCTTGGTTTCATTACTTCTTAGAAGTGCTTTTCTTCTAAAGTGTATTGTACAGTAATATAATACCCTAAGCATTATATACAGATAAAGGTTCACTTTTTAATTGCTCATGTTCCCCAAATTGTGATACACATAAAAAAAAAAAGGATGAGTATACAAAATGTCTTAATCAGCAGAAAAAAATAAGAGAATTAAGATTCCTTTGAAACTTGGTTTGAAGCAAACATACAAACATGTGATTTCTGGTCCTTGGACAGTAAACAACAAAATTCAGTAGAATTTGTAGTTAAAAACCTGTTGTATTAAAACACCAGTGGAAATCTGTATCAGGCTAAGGTTGTGACACAGATTGTTCTGTTACATATATATATATATATACACATACATACATATTTATATATATATATTTTTTTTTTTTTTATTTTTTTTTTTCTTAAGCATATTGACACTGTCTTACATAGGACTATGTTCAAAAACACAGCAGACTTTGGACTTTTTTCCAAGTCAAATTATTTTTTTTGTTAGAAAGAGTTCTTAAAAATTCATTTTATTTTTTTTTGTTTCTGCCTTTCACCTTCCGTTGAGACTTAATATATCAATTTAATTCTGAAATCAGGTTGAGCATTTCAGCTTTCCCTATCAGGGAAAACAGACATATGCATCTTTCTCTTATTAGCACTAGATAAGAGCTGCTAGCCTCTTATGTCACACAGACATGCCACATTCTCTCTAGTTCTGAGCAGGCTTTAGCCTGCAATGTCACTGTAATTGTATGTGGATAATCTTTGCTGAGTTGTGCAGGGAACTGCACCTTGGCACTTTGCATCTGTCACACAAGCTGAACTCTCAATACCTATGTACTCTCTACAGGCAGTTGAAGTATGAAGGCTATTTGTCTAGATATATTGAGTATAGAGACTATTTGAAAGTCTGAGACTATTTGTTCCATTATTTTAATCAACTCAAATTTGTGAGTTGATTGATTTTTCCAGACTGGAACAGAGTTTTGCCTGTTTCAAGTAGGAGGTGGCATGAACTTACCTGAAAATGGTAACAGACAGATATTGCAGAGGATTAAAATGGAAGCTACTGAAAAATACCAAGTCATTAAAATAAAAACTTTTTTTTTTCTGTGCAATCATGAATAAATATCTTGAGAACATTTTTTTTTCAAAGATTCAGAATTTCCACAACATTACTTAATTTTTTCATAAAGTTGCTTCTCCTTGAGCAGAGCAAATAGCAAAACAAAAGAAGTTTGAAGAAATACCTTATATCTCAGCTATGGATCATATTGTTAAAATGGTCTCAATGTAGCTACTCTGAGTTATTATGACATCTTAAAGTCAAGTGAGAAGACTTGTCTCTAGAGGGCATTTGGTTCCAATCTCCTGCTCAAGCAGGTCCATTCAGGACCATGCACATGTAGCTCTGGAAGATCTCTGAGAACCTCCAAAATTGAGAATCCATCTCTGGGTAACTTCTACAAGTTACTGTCCACTCTCACAGTAAAAAATGGTTTCCTGATGTTCTGGAGAAAAATCCCGTGTTTAGCTTATGCCACTGCTATTGCCTGTCACTGGACACAGCAAAAAAAGCCTCATAAGCTTTGACTAGTTAAAAGACCAGAATCAGACCATGAGTACACAGACAAACAGGAGCACACAGGAACAATATTTAGTTTTCTGAAGGAATAATAACCAAAAGAGTTTTGATAACTGAATTTTAGAAGAATAAACAACCTGTTTCGCAGGAAAAGGAGAATAAAGAATTCTGTATTTGTCAAGTATGATGCACAGGTTCTCATTGCAGGCTTAGTGAAGTACAGACAAAAAATTACATGTGAGAATATGTTTCTTAAAAATATATTTGTAAAGAGCATGATTCTGTCAAGGTGAATGTGGTGGATTTTGCTGCATGCCAGACTTGAAGCAGTAAAATGTCCCCCTGAATTCTAATAAAAGACTGTCTGCTTGAGATCACTGACGACAAAAACATAACCTCCCTCCCACAAAAAAAAAAGAGCCAACAACGAACAGCTGAAAAGAGGCAAACACTTGATTTGACTGTCTAATTTAGGCCCTTTCATTCAACACTTACAAGACTATTGAGAATTTGCCAAGTAAAAAATTAATATATTTCAAGACTTGTTTTCTATTAATTAGCCATGTTTTGACATAATGTACAGTAGCTCATGAACAAAATGTGATAAAAAAGTGCATGTAAAATAAAAGCTGTTACATATTATTAAACAGAAGTTATTTATATTTACTGCAAGTAACTTTTGAATTCTTCCTTATGGAATGTGTCTGACACCAGAAACTGCCTGCCAGATAAATTGTGTCTGAAGGGACTGAAAAATCTGAAAAATATTCAAATAGTGACCCTCTGTAAAGGACAACAATATGGACAGTGTTATGCACGTGCATACCACATATACAATAATTCAAATCAAAAGGAAAAGCCATGATCATGGCACAAGAAAAAAACCTTGTAAGAAACATTTTTGTACCTGCTTCATTGAAATAAAGATGATTAAAAAAAAGATTACAGTATAAGGGACTTGTGTGTTCTCTATTTTTGCTGTTTATGACTGTCTTGTCAAAATCTGATGCTCACCTGAAATGTAATGAGTATTAGTATTAATGTTTTACAGTGGTAAAACATTACCACTATAACATTTTTATAGGTTCAATGCATGAAAGTTATAGCTTGTTTCCATTTATCCTCCATACAATAAGCCTCAAAATAATGGAACACCAGTGTAAAGGGTTAAAAAGACAGATTTTAATATACATTTTGTGCAGGCAAATTATGGAATGGCACTGGAAAAGTATGTGGCCCAGTTATGGATATATTCTTCAGGAGAAGCTTTAACTGCTA